ATTGCCCCCCTGGTTTTTTATCCAGTTACGCCACTGGTAACATCAGTCTGCTTTTGTAGTCTACACTCTACATAGTAAATATAGTAACATAATAGTAAATATTTTATTACGCCAAAACCTAACGCCAAATTAGTCATACGCCAGAATGGTTTACGTCAAAGTGGCCACGCCAAGATTGTCCGGGTCCCATACCAGAGGAGTAGAGGACCACCCTAATGTACTACCTACTAAAAATGAAACAAAATACTGTTCATCAATTAACAATTAATTATTAACTCATTATAGTTTAGTTATTTTTTATGTTATGTATAAAAGTATATTAAATAGAAATAAATATTGTTAATTGGTGTTTCAACAAATAATGCTGGTGTTTTTAATTTTGTAATATATATAGGTACTTGACTTGACATGCCACCAAAGTGTCTCAGAATCATAGTTGACCTTGTTCTATCATTTGTATGATTGTTTACATTTTCATAACTGCCTTGTTAACACTAATGTTTTATTTTTTTGAAACCCGAACACCTTCGATCCAAATTATTTTTTTTATCTGGTTATAAATCTGTAAGTATTTCTCACTTTTTTTTTCAAAGTTCCAGTTGGAGTAATTTTTTTTGTAATAGGTAATCTGCAAGTAGAATACTGGTATACCAGTTGTTAGTGGTAAAATTTCGTTTAGTGTTCTCGATGGGTGTTACTAATAGTAGTTTCACGATATCAATTGGTGAATTAGAAACCTCATACGGACCAGGTGGTTATTTTCCAACATAAATCTCTATCTTACTCGTGTAAAATTATTTTTGCATAACATAATGCAAACATTTTGATGACATATTTGGACGGTTTACTAGGGATATACTGTAACCATTGACGTTATCGCATAACTACAATCTTGTATAACGACTATACCCACTATGTATCATTGAAATTATGAATTTACGTACGTACATACATCAGCTATTTATAAATTCTAGAGCTACATGGCGCTATCGGCTATTGGCCCTTATTACTGGTCGATAAATTGTACTTATATTTTTATCTCAAAATTGTCAAAGGTTTCTTTATCTAAATTTATCTATAAACGCACAGTAAAATATCGTATGTATTTAGTTGGTTTAGAACATCGGAACCTTACTGGTTTTATTTTGTTGTTTTTCGTCCTATATAATTTACTTCAAACTACAATGAATGACAGCGAAGGAACTTTAACTTCTGTAGTACAAAATGATAATAATTCATCATCTCCAGAATCTCCACCACCACTTCGACGATCAATTGATGGTATTTTTTTTAAATTTTTACCTGAAAAATCATGAGCATCTAAAAGTAGAACAGTGGTTCAATGCGTAAAATGTGAGCCAAAAATTGTTGAACTTAAAGGTTATGGAAATTCGTCTTATAATTTTGTTACACATTTAAAACATCGACAAGGCAATGATGCAGCTGAATAATATAAAAATCAATTCAGATCAATTGGACCAAATAAAAAAATTAAAACTTTAGTTAAGCAATTTAAAATTAAAACAACACAAGAAACTTCGAAAGCTAAATCATGAATTTTTTTTTAAATTCAATGGTTCCTTTGAGATGCGTAGAAGACCCGTTTAAATCTGGTACCTCTATAATTATAGTAACACTGCTTATTGTGAATTAGTAGAAGAATAATTTTCTCTCATTGTATTACAAATATCTTACATAGGTGATGTGAATATACCCAGATTTTTTCGGTCAACCAATGAACCTTCATCAAATAATATTGTTAATCTGGTTGCAAATAGTTTCATTAACTATCTTAATTTTCTCACATAGTCAAATTAATAATATTCGTAAAAGTTTATCTCTTACACCGATTTTTGATGCTTATCATCCACCTTTGAAGTTGATCTACCCATTAACCTCTAGCCCAGCTATTCTAGTTGAATCATGTATGATTTTAATTCATGTAATTTTGATGAAATGTATACATTTTTTACAGAATTTGATTTTATTTATAATTTTAACAATTTGAGTTTGGCTACTGCTACTACTAAATTCTATGAAATTATAAGACGTACTTTTGATGTTTATGTTACAACATTGAAATTCAATCCTAATCATAATCAGAACATTACGTGACAAGATCCTGTGTCCTTCGAAATCTTATTTAATTAAAACAACAAGTCCATAAACCATTAAAATTAAATAAATCTCAACATGATTATTTCACTTTTTCTGAACTTCGTAAAAAAGTAAAGCCTTATCTGTCAAAGTCCATACAAACCATATCTTGATAATATAAAATAATATAAATAGTGATTCGAAGTATTTTTGGAAATATATCCAATCCTTGAGATTAAAACCCAAAATCCTTAATAAACAAAATATTTTTCTGGATAGTAGGAGGAATATTCAAAATTAACTTAATTGGGAAATAGAAGCTTATAGTCTGTTATATTGTTCATTTAACATATGATTTAAAAACCAAAGTTCCATCAAACTTAATAAACAAATTAAAAATCATTATACCATTGCCTTTTAAATTAATTATAATAGGTAATTATATAACAATGTTATTTTATATTCAATATTTTAATAATTTTTCACCTGCAGGGTAACAAACTTTATTTTATACATTTAAACATTTATGTTTTCATAATTATTTTTACATTGAAGCATAATTAATGCTCCACCGGGCTGCTACTAGTTGCGTTCCAAACAGTACCATAACTACGAACAAGGTCTAATCCATTAGGTACCTAAATCAAAGGGGGTTTTATCATATCCGGGATATGGAGGCTATACTTTGATAATAATACTTACCTATATGGCCATATAGCTATATAATGTTTAACGTTCCCTGTTCTTTAATAACGACAATCTACAAAAAGTAGAATTATTTACTGATTATATTTATTATATTATTAGAAACATACATATTATAAGAGTCTAATTTTTAAATACAAAGAAGGAAAATCTATGAATCGTAAATATGTTTTTGTTAATGTACCTAAGAAACTACGACAAAAAAAACTATAAGAAAAATAGGTAATACAAATTTTTGTAGGTATCCAGTATAAAGACATAAAATAAAGAATAAAAGTACTTAATACATATCTTTGATAGGGTTAAAATAATTTATTTTTTTATTTATTGCATTTTTTGTTCTATTATACATAATATTCTATAGAAATTATTTCAATGACGCGCATAATTGTATAACTTGAATAGGTAGTTAAAAGTTATTTATTTTTAGATGTCGCCAATACTCTGTTGTAATTCTTCCATGTCACATTTCAATTGTTTTAATTCCTGTGTATAGTTATTTTCGGTATTTGATTTTATGGCATATTTTTCGATCATACATGTTGTGCTGTTTGATGGACCGCATGGAAGCTTTATGTCTGACGAGGAACACGATGGTTTACAACAAGGATCCAATTTTTTTTTCGGACAACAAGGCATTGGCATTATTGGTTCACAACAAGGATCAGGTTTCTTTTTCGGACAAGAAATAGGAGTTGGCGGGCAACAAATAGGTTCACATTTTGGTTCACATTTCTTCTTCGGACAACAAATAGGAGTTGGCGGGCAACAAATAGGTTCACATTTTGGTTCACATTTTGGTTCACATTTTGGTTCACATTTTGGTTCACATTTTGGTTCACATTTTGGTTCACATTTCTTTTTCGGACAACAAATTGGAGTTTGGCGGACAACAAATAGGTTCACATTTTGGCTCACATTTCTTTTTCGGACAACAAGGACTCGGCCCACATTTCTTTTTAGGACAACAATAAGGACTCGGGCAACATTTCTTTTTCGGGCAACAACAAGTATCGACAAAACACTTGATTTGCTTAACTTTTTCCGATAGTAAACACATTTGTTTTAGTTGACATTCTCTTTCGTAAAGTTTCATTTCATCTCGTTTAGTTCCATACATTTACAATCAATTTCTTGTTGCAACTCAATAATTCTTTTCTTCAAGCAACATATTTCGTTATTCTTAGCACACATTTCTTCTTGTAATTTCTGTACCCGGTTTTTCATTTCTAAGTGATTCCTAGCACTCACTTTATTCAATTCTATTAATTTGCAAGCAAACTTCTTTGATTTACATTTCTCGTCGTCTAACTTGCACATCGCATCGTCTAATCGCATCTCTAAGTCGCTAACTTTTTGCAACATGCTTTCAACTCGCATGTTAAATTTTCACGTTCTTGTATGTACCTTTCCTCAATGCGCGTAGCCGCTAATTTTGCCTCACATAGACATTTTTTGTGCAGTTTACCTCCGTAGGCAAATCCCCGTTCATCTCGTGCAATGTATTGCATTCACTCATGCACTCTTCAGTTCCCTGCGAACTTTACAGAGTTCCTGTTCGGTACATTTCAAAGATGCCTTCAATTTATTAACCAAACAGAGAGTTTTCTTTCCAATTCTGACTAAAAATATATAAATACAAATATGTTAATATCTTCCCAACAACATATCTATTGTAAAGTATTAAAGTATAATATGTGGAGCTGGTCCATTATAGTGACTTATAAAAAAATGCACATAGGCAAAAACAATATTAATTCGATGGGCTCATTGTTCATATATCATAGTATATTATTCATCATATAATTTATACCTATAATATAAATTATTATGTGACTCTGCATAGTTAACGGATAACATAATCTTAAGCAGCAGAGGCAACCTAGATCTAATAGTTCGGCAAATTTTTTCTTAATCGTTATATTTATTGACTAGTGATAGTGAATAAACCAGGCACCGCCATGGAAATTTATGTTTGGCCATACAGTCAAACGGTCAAACAAAACACATGGCCTACTTATTGAAAAATATAAACCTTAATAAATTACCTAACTTTCAACTTTGTATGATATTGTGTAAGTATTTGAAATTATGTTGTATAATATTCGTATTAAAGTGATTAGAAGATCTAAAATTACGTTTTATGTGTATACGAACGACTAACAATTTTTTTAGTACCTAATTGTATCATTCTAAAATCAAGAAAAGGAAATATTTACTTTAGTTTGACATAATTCCTTCTGAACACATTTCAAAGTTACTTCGGTCTCTGCTAACTGGGATTGTAATTTACTTTCATTACATTTCAGAATTTTGATCTCACGACACATACAGTTGTTGGCGTCTTCTAGTTTCCCGTACTTGAGTTCCCATTGATATTCTGAATTTGCACATTCCTTAAGCTTTTTCGATTGCTCGTCACACGTAGCTGATAGTTCGCAAAACGCTTTCTTATGGGCGTTCATACTGTCTTCATGACTCTTTTCAAATTCTTTGAAAATTTCTCGTAATTTATTTCTTTCAGAAACCACTGAATCAAACTCTTCTAGTTTTTTATTTAACTTACATATTTTATCCTCTTGACAGGATATAATTTCTTTTAACTCTTGCGTCGTGTCTTCTGTTGAGTACATCTAGATAAATACAATTTTAGAGAAGTACCTATTTGAATTTTATTCTGTACATAATACTGTTTATAACTTACTTTGTATGGATTTATTTTATTTTGTATGAATTTAGAATAAAAATTGAATGTTACAAATTTTATGACCTACTAATTTGTTTTAAGTTATTGTAATTAATGTTACTGTTTGTTTATAATCAAACAAAACATCTGTTGCTATATACCTACCTGTAATACTAATAAACAAAATAAAATAGACGCCAATAAAATATTTATTTTCTTTTAATACATAATATTTAAATATTTTAACACGAAATTATATTTGTCTGTTCTTGAACTAGAATAAATTCTTTACTCTTTGTTCAAATTAAATTTCATTATTAGATCCTTATATATATAAAAGAACAGGCCTTTTTTTATGTACCAATTTTGTGACGACGCTATTTATTTTTTTTCCAATTTCTTTTCACAAAGTTGTTCCAAATACCTTCGTGAGTGTCACCACATCGGCCGATTTTCAAAATTTTGATTTTAAAGGGTTGAAATTGGCAAAAATAATTTTTTACGTGTAATTTGTAATATGTATAATAATAATAACAACAATAGCAGTCGGCCGATAACGGGAAATACGGTACGGCATGGCGGTCCGAAGGTTTCCGTCTACCTGTACTCTGACCTTTTTTTTCGAGAATTGTTCTGAGGCTATATAATATTTAATGAGTTGTATAGAAAACACTGACTAAAAATAATAATACATTTCTTATCGAAATCGACGATCCGCCAGACGCCGAACGCGCGCCGATTGATGGTTTATCAGTGTACTGCGACTGTGATCGGTGAACTGTGCGCGTTTGTGTGGTGTTTCCCTAAATTATTTAACTACAATTGTCATTTACATTATGAGTAAAAACCACTGTACTGCCTTAGCAATACATAATTCTTATTTAAACGACGATGTTATTAATGCATTTTTAGACATCGTAAAATTACAAACATCATTTATTCCACAAAACGTATTATTTTATCAAACACCACTTATGTATTCAGCCGTTGAGAACGTGGATGATTTTCAAATTTTATATGATGGTTCTATTGGAAATGATGCTATTGGGCATTGGCTATGTGTGTATTATCGTAATGAAACTAAGTGCGTAGAAGTGTACGATAGTCTATACCATACGCTTAATGATAATTTATTTGAGATTTTGGATATTTTATATCCTTCAAAATCCAATGTTGTGTTTAAGTCTGTTATAAAACAGCCAGATGGGTATTCATGTGGAGTTTTTGCAATTGAAATTTAATAAAGATTTTCTTATAAAAAACAAAAAAATAAAAATAATAAAAACAAAGACTACAATAGGGCGTAAAAAGCGTAAAAGTATAATTAATAAAAATATCAGAACTGCTATGCAAGGTAATAAAAAAAATATTGAATGGAACAATAAAGAAAAGTCTGCTTTTAATTATTCGCCAATTGTAGATTACAAAAATAGTAGACACATTACAATTGGACTCATGGATAAATTGTGTAATTTTTGTGATGCTTTAAAATGGTCTGCGGAATCCCCAGGACTGTGCTGTTCGAACTGTAAAATTAAATTACAATCTATTGAAGATCCACCAGAACCGTTACGTAGTCTTATTTTTGGTGAAAATATTACAAAATCTAAATCTTTTCTGACTGCAATAAGAAAATATAATTGTGCGTTTCAAATGACCTCTTTTAGAGGAAAACAAATTTTACATGATAAATTCATGCCAACTTTTATGATACAAGGGCAAATATACCATACTGCAGGCAGTTTATTCCCCGTGCATTCAAGTGAACCAAAGTTTTTACAAATATACTTTGTAGGCAATGACAATTCCGAAGCTGAATTTAGGCATAAAAATATTCCTAACATCGACCCCATAATTGTAATCGAGTTACAAAAAATGCTTCATTTACATAACAATCTTATAAGATCTTTTAAGGCTGCTATAGATTCACATGAAAATGAAGATATGGAAAACTTAAATATAGTTATACATGCAGAACGAGTAACCTATGGCAATCATCCTGGACGTTTTAATGCACCTTCAGTTATCGTGATTCAGTTATCGTGATAGACAGTCAACAATTCGAAAAGCGTGTTATAGTTCTTAATGGTCGAAATAATACGTTTAAACGTATAAATGAATTACATAGATCATATGATGCCCTACAATATCCTCTCATGTTCTGTCGTGGTGAGGACGGATACAACATAGCTATTCCGAAATTTGATCCCACGAATAATCAAGCAGATAAAAAAAATGTCAGCATCTAGCTTTTATTCGTATAGAATCATGATACGGAAAAATAATAGCAATTATTTACATTATTTTCGGCAGTTATTTAACATGTGTTTGGTAGACATGTACGCGAAAATTGAGACAGAACGTCTAAATTTTATTCGATATAATCAATGTAAACTACGTGTAGACAATTATATACATTTACAAGACTCTATCAATAATGAAATTGATCCTAAAGATATAGGACAATTAGTTGTTTTGCCATCCTCATTTACAGGTGGTCCAAGGTATATGCATGAAAGGACCCAGGATGCTATGACTTATGTAAGATTATATGGAAAACCAGATATATTTTTAACATTTACATGCAATCCAAATTGGTCTGAAATACAGGAAAATTTATATCAAGACCAGCGGCCAGAAGACAGACATGATTTAATTGCCCGTGTTTTTCATCTAAAAGTTAAAAAATTAATGGATTTAATAACTAAATCAAAAATATTTGGTAGTGCTAAATGCTTCATGTATTCAATAGAATGGCAAAAACGAGGTTTGCCACATGTTCACATTTTAATTTGGTTGGAAAATAAAATCCGACCTGACGATATAGATTCCCTTATATGTGCGGAAATTCCTGACCCAATACAAGTTCCAATTTTACACGAAATAGTTAGAAAAAATATGATACATGGTCCATGTGGTACCTTTAATGGAAACAGCAAATGCATGTCTAATGGGAAATGCAAAAAAAAATTTCCAAAACATTTTACCACTACAACTATATCTGGAGAAGATGGTTATCCCAATTACAGAAGAAGATGTATTAAAAGTGGAGGATTCAGTGTGAAAATTAGTTGTAATGGTGTATCTACTGATATTGGGAATCAATGGGTAGTACCGTATAATCCATTTCTTCTCAGATTATTCGATGCTCATATAAATATAGAACATTGTAGTTCTATTAAAGCTATAAATATATTTGCAAATATATTAATAAAGGTTCAGATCAGGCTACATTTCCTGTAGAAAAACAAAGTAAAGATGAAATAACTTCATATCAATCTGGTAGATATGTTAGTTCTTCAGAAGCTGTATGGCGTATTTTATCTTTTCCTATACAAGAGAGATATCCATCTGTTTTCCATTTATCTGTTCACCTGGAAAATGGTCAACGAGTGTATTTCACAACAAATAATGTTACTGAAAAGATAAGCAAACCACCAACAACTACTCTTACTGCATTTTTTGAACTTCTCGAGGACATACAGCACGTCTGAAATTCGTATCTTCTTTTAGTATCTTTCATCAAACTATAGTTGTATGAGTAATTCAAAAGTTTCCTTTTTTCATTCGATAAAAACTTTGAAAGCGATCGTCATCTTCGAGGTTTTTAAACACAGCATACGCTCCTCGATCGTTGCAATTTTGACGCCAAAATGGGTGTACCCAATAATTGTGTACTTTTTTTTGGCCTCCTTGGGCATTTAAAATATTAACTAAATTTACCGCGTGTAGTACTTCCTCATCGTCTGACGACATTTAGAGAAATGAATAAAGCAAAGAAAAATAATTTCAAGTAACGTAAATAATCACGTCAACTGAATTAACTACAAAAATCATTTTGTCACATCACTCATCATATCACTAGTCATGAGTCATGAGTCACGTTACTCCGGTGGACGCCGGGCCTTAACCTACATATTAAATAGGTAAAGGTATAGAAAACATCTATATTGTACTGTGTATAAGGTTTTAAGTGTATAGTTTTCAACTGTAAGATATTGTTTACCTATGTATGTTTTATTGTTTTGTAATGATTTTTGTATGATTAAATATTTTCGATATTTACATAATATGACTGATGTTTAAATATTTTCATTGAATAAATGTGTGTTGGTGTGGTAGAACTATACACAATTGGATATAACGAAGTAATATATATATTTCATAATTTAGCACAACATAATAATTTAGTAAAAGAATAAAGAACACATAATAGTTTTTACAGAAAAAAAACAACAGTGTAGTAGAGATAGACTGATAAGTGATAATGACATTATGATAACACTCTCACTTAATTATACAAATATTAGTTTCAAATAGTATATTATAATTAAATAATCCATATAGTAGTCTTATTTTAAACCTAGTTTTTCCTTCAGAACTTTAAAACTTTTCCCCGCTAACCCTTTGGTCATTATATCAGCGACCTGATTTGAAGTTGACAGATACTCAAGTGTTATAGTTCCAGAAGTGATGGCTTCTTTTATGAAACAGTATTTAACATCTATATGTTTGAGTCGTTGATGCTTCCTTGGTTCCCTGGCTATTGTTATGCAAGATTGATTATCTTCAAAAATAGTCACTGGCACTTCCAAATCCAAAATTCCCATCTCGGTTAACAGACCTCTCATCCAAATACATTCTGTGATTGTAGTGGCAAGTGCCACATATTCAGCTTCTGTGGTGGAAATTGCCACTGTAGCCTGTTTACGGCTAACCCAAGTTACAGTTGCCCCAAACACTTGTATAACATATCCAGTGGTAGATTTTCTCTCTTCCCTGTCACCAGCAAAATCTGCATCACAATAGGCAACTAGCACAGCTGAACTTTTTCCTCTTGTAAACGTGAGACAGCAATCTTTAGTCCCATGAAGGTACCTAAAGACTCGTTTCAATAGGTTCCAGTGAATTTCAGTTGCATTTGATTGGAAACGACTTAATAGGTTTACCGCAAAACTTAAGTCCGGTCTGGTATGTATCATAAGATACATGAGACATCCAACTGCCTCTCGATAAGGTTTACTAGTTTTCTCTGTGTTTGTTGGAATTATAATCTTGACATTTTCTTCAATTGGGGTTTTTACTGGCTTACACTCACCCAGACCAAATTTGTTTAGTAGAAGATCAATATAGTTTCTTTGATCTAGTTGAAGCACACCGTTATTTTTGTCCCATCTTATTTTCATTCCTAGGAACATTCCTGTATTGTCCTGTTTCATTCTAAATTCCTGACACAGTGCATGTTTTATATCACTTATTTCCTTTTCTGCATTTCCTGCAAGTAGAATATCATCGACATAAAGTAATAAGTATGACACTGATAAATCATTTGATCTGATGTACAAACAGTTATCTGATTCACTTTGTTGGTACCCTTGACCAGTTATGAATTCATGGAATCGACGGTTCCAACACCTTGGAGCTTGTTTGAGACCATATATTGACTTATTTAGTCTGCAAACTTTGGACTTATCTTGTATATATCCTTCAGGTTGTTCCATAAATACTTCTTCATTAAGCACTCCATTAAGGAAAGCAGTTTTAACATCCATCTGAATGAGAAAAAGATTTTTTTGATTAACTATAGATAATAGTGTTCTTATTGTAACCATATTTGCAACTGGAGCATATGTTTCAGTGTAGTCAAAACCAAATTTTTGAGCACACCCTTTCGCCACCAATCTAGCTTTATAACAAATGTTTTTTTCATTTTCAAACTTGACTTTATAAACCCAACGACAATTAATTATTTTTCTTCCTTCTGGTCTATCCACTAGAGTCCAAGTTTTGTTCTCAACCATTGCATCCATCTCTTCCTTCATTGCTTGCTCCCACTGATTTCTATATTCATTGTTCATGACATCACTGTACGTTAAAGGAACGTCACTTACAAATGATTCAGCTGATAGGGCCCAAGCTAAATAAGTGGTATCATAGTCAGCATGCCAGGCTGGTGGTCGTGATTGACGTTTGGGTAGACTGCTTGAGGTTGATTCTGATTTTCCTTCACGATTGGTTTTATCCTTTTCTTGTTCCCAGAGATCATCTATAGAATCCTTTTCGGAGTCAACAGTTTCTATTGGTTTATCTTCTTGTACTGGAGCTGGAATATAAACTATATTGTCATTATTACTCTTTTGTGTTTTGAACATGTCTTGTTCATCAAATATGACATCACGACCAATTTTAATACATTTTAAGTCATCGTTCCACAATCTGTATGTATTCTGTAAGCCATATCCAACCATACGACACTTCAGTGATTTACCATCAAACTTATCACTTACTTTTGATTTGCGAAGAAATGCTGTACTGCCAAATATCCTAAGATTATTTAAGTCTGGTTTCTTATCATTCCACATTTCATACGGAGTTTTGTTTTCTAGTGCAGTTGTAGGTGATCTATTTAGTAGGTATGCAGCTGTTCTCACTGCCTCTCCCCAAAAACATTTTGGTATAGAGCTGTCAATAATCATTGCTCTTGCTTTTTCAATTAATGAACGGTTTAATCGTTCAGCATGACCATTCATTTGAGGGGTATATGCTGCTGTATACTCTAATAATATTCCTTTTTCTTCACAGAATTTTTTTATTAAATTTGAACTATACTCTCCTCCATTATCACACCTTAACTTCATAATTTTATGAGAAATTTTGATGTTACCATAGCTTCATATGACTGAAAGAAGTTATACACTTCTGCTTTTGTTTCTAATAGGTATACTACTGTGAAATGTGTAAAATCATCCAAGAAGGTTAATATATACCTCTTATTATCCCATGTTTTTGGTGTTATTGGACCGCACACATCTGTATGTATAATCTGTAGAGGTTTGGTTGCTCTTGTTCTATGGCCCTTGAATGGTTTTTTTTCATGTTTGGCCATAATGCATGTTTCACATTGGAAATTATCAGCCTTACTTATTTTCAGGTTATCTGACATTGTTTTCAACTGTTGTATATATTGTTCATTGAGATGACCCAACCGCCTGTGCCATAAATTGATAGTTTCCCATGTACATGTCATATTAGCTTGAGTAATTTTGGAGGAAGCTAATTTTAATTTTATTTTGTATAAACTACCTTCTCGAACACCGATGGCTATTACTTTCGATCCTAGAAAAATTCTCACCATACCGGCTTCAAAAACTACTTTTAAACCATTTTTTTCTATTCTTCCAACAGACAGTAAATTAGCTCTTAAATCAGGTACGTAGATTACGTTTTTAATAGTGCAGTTGCTTACTTGACCGTTAAATACACTTATCGCACGTACATCTCCAACTATTTTTCCAACTAGTTCTTCACCAGCTTTAGCTACTCCGATTTTGATTGGTTCTTGTAAAATTTTGACATTTAATAAACATGATTTATCACTAATTAAGTGATCAGACGCACCTGAATCAAGATAGAAGGTTATATTATCAGGATCACTAACTGATTGAACACTATGAGCAATGTTACACATAAACGCAATTCCATCTTCATCAGTGCTCTCCTCCATCAAATTAGCTTGTCCTTTGTATCCTTTGTGCCATTTTTTCTTCTTTAGATAAGCTTTTCTTTTGGGACATTGATAGCGTTTATGTCCAGGCTCATTGCATTCGTGGCATTTTATCATCGAACTGAAGGCTGAACTACTGTCTACTGCACTTTTAACATGGTCAGAGTTCATACGCTTTAGATATTCATCCATAAGTCTGACTTTTACAAAATCAACAGTGATGCTATTGTTAGATAATGTCTCAATTGCAGTTACCACTATGCCATAAGATTCAGGCAGAGACAAAAGAAGTAAACAAGCTAAAAAATCTTCTTCAATTTTCCCTCCTGCCGATTTTAATTGACGAACTAAATCATCAAATCTGATTAAGTAATTTTCAATTGGTTCCTCTTCATTATACTTTATTGTCAATAACCGTTTTAGCAAATACAAACGACTAGACACACCCTTTCGTTCAAACGTGGCTATAAGTTTGTCCCATTTTTGTTTGGCCGTTGTACCCTCTCTGACATATTCCAAATGAGAATTTGCTACACATTGAATTAATAATGATTTTGCTTTTGCGTCATTTTTCAAATACTCCTTTTTATTTACCAAATCTGTCTCGAAAGAAGCATCTTTATACAAACATTCCAGCACACCATGTTCCTCTAGCAACGTCTCTATTCTGAACTTCCAATTATCGAAATCAAGACCGTTGAATTGGGTGATGCCATATCTATCTTCTTTCGAGTTAGCCATTACCACCAGTATTTATTATATTTGCCAAGTACCTCTAATAACTCACTAATTATTTATAAACACTTCTTTTTTTTTTTTTTTATCCACTTCAATCCATGTGACTTCCTTTTCAGTAGTAATTCTGAGTTCTGGGCCCATAACCTGTTGGTGTGGTAGAACTATACACAATTGGATATAACGAAGTAATATATATATTTCATAATTTAGCACAACATAATAATTTAGTAAAAGAATAAAGAACACATTTTAGACTTTTAAACACATAATAGTTTTTACAGAAAAAAAACAACAGTGTAGTAGAGATAGACTGATAAGTGATAATGACAGTATGATAACAATGTGCACTAATTACTAAACTACTAAAGTAATATAAAATATTATATTTGTTATATTATTTTGTCTAGTACTTATATAAAATATAATCTGTGAGAACAAATGGCCCGATTTACACAATTCGTTGAAAATTGTAACTTTGTTAGGCACCAAAATTATACTAAAATACTTTGTTAGTTTGTAACTACATATAAGTTATACTGAGGTGGAGTGATACAGTTCATTTTAATTTTTTTTTTATTGTCATATTTATTTAATTTGTACAATCTGTATAAAATATATTTACAATAAGCACAATAGAAGAAGGGATACATAATAATTAATAGGTCATGGCTTGATTGAAGAAGCTATTCAATAAAAGCACTTCATGGCGTGGATAGTAGTGGTTAGTTGACTAGTAGACCAGTGGCGGTTTTGGCAATAATTTTCTGAGGAGGCTATAAATAATTTCACTTAAGTGACCCCCTGACACTATTTAACAAGAAATAAAACCAAAAGTAAATAATCTGTGATCTGTATACTAATTGATATAATTGTATATAACTAGTCAAAAATATAACTATATCAATAAGGTGCTCCATAAATAATCTATTCAGTCTCACATTTTCGTTGTAATGTTTTTTTAAATAACTTTCCATGTTCACTGAGAGCATCAACAATAGTTACAGAATTTTTTTTCTAAGTTTTTTAAGTTAAAATGATTGCGAATATGCTCCTTTGACAACTCATGTCTTTGTAAACTTCTAGGCAAATTTTTAAAATCCCAATACCCTTCAGTAGACCAAACAGACTTTGTATGCCCTAATACCAAGCAAGGCCAACAAAATAATTTTTCTAGGTAATAACTACCATATTGCCAAGAGTGTTGTTTATACCAAGCTACACTAAATGACCTAGAAAACACTTTGCCACTTTTTTTGTCAGTAGTTAAACATGATAACGATGGAGTAGGTTTACCTTGCTGAAGTATATCTGTTTTATCACGAGAAATTAATTGACTGAACGGAGGTCCAAGTAAACATACAATTGAGTCATATATTGGCTTCATTATATTTTAATATTATAATAACTAAAGTCTAAAACCAAGAATCAAAAGAACTAGAAACACTCTAACACTAGAAACAATAGGAAGTTGGGATTAGAATTATTATACTTATACTTATAATTGATAACTTAAAAAATAATTGCATAGGGACTAATCTGTAACCACTAATGATTAATACAAGTTACAACATACAATATTAATAATTATACTATTATAGGATTGGTAACTATACATTTTCATAATTATTTACTTTTATACATAAAGAAATACGATTTATTTTGATATTAATTGAAATGGAGCAGTTTTGTGATTGTGTCATTGTGATAAGCCGCGAGGTTGATCCTTATCACGGAAGGAGGCGAAAATATTTATTGCCGTCTAACTATCAAAGCGCATGCGCAGTTTAAATAATTGTTTACGTGTGTGAGTGTGTAATTTCGTGTACACTTTGATAGCACAGTAGGCGACAGAATCGGTTGCCGCCTCAAGCCTCTACAGTTGTAGAACAGTACGAAAATAACGTAATATTTTTAATATTTTTAAAGCTATTCCTGTCATTGAATATAGTATACATAATTGGCCATTATAAGGGCGCATGGCATCCGTCTTAAACATTTTTTTTCAACAATGCAATCATATTTGTACATTGATGATATAAAATAAAAAAAAAATTATAAAACAAATATTTTTTAATCGAATATAAAATTTCTTTTTTCTTTTTTCTTTTTAACTTTTCAAGGGAGGCGGTGCCTCCCTTGCCTCCTCGGGAAAACCGCCACTGTAGTAGACCACGACACCGATGCGCTTAACTAAATATGAATATCTATAGAATTTGTTTGCATGATAATATAATGTTCGTTAGAAAAGGACATGTTGAACGACATAACTAAAATAAAAAGGTATTTACATAACAATTAATTACAACATTGAATACATAAGTACATAATATAATAGATAAAATAATATAATATAATACATAATAGTAGGGCCAGTTTGAGATCATACATATTTGATTATGACAAATTTGTCACTGACTTTAGTAACTTTACAATTTAATTTACTACTCATGCGAAAAAAAAAATTGTATTAATTGGAGATGACTTCTTGTTTTATTGAGTAAACGGTGATGACAAATAAAACAGAAAAAAAAGAAAACGAAAGTAACGGAATCGCAACGTGGTCGAGCTGGAGACTTTCGGTGTAGCTTTTCGGCGTACGTGCGTACATGCGAACAGTTGTTAGTCGAGCGTATGTCGTCGGCGGCCGGCACTCGTCCGGCGTGACTCGCTTCCCCGTCCCACCTTCTGCCTTTGCAGTGTCGCACCATCGTAGCCCGTGGTGGGGGTTGGTAAGGTGCTGAAAGGTAGCTCCGACGTCAATACTTTGTACTGAGCGTCGTTGCGTACCGTATCAAGAGCTCTTCAGTTGATCTTGGTAATTGTTGACACGCTTTACTGGCTATTATAGCAGTGGAATGGCAAATACATTTCATGAGTATCACAGATGGTACATCAGTCTTTAAGTGGGAATAAAAAAAATTATGATTTCCCGCCATTACATTAGCACCATCACATGCCAAGCCTGTTATATTATTCAGTGGTATATCCTTCTGATTAAAACATAGTTTAAATGCTTTATACATTTTAACTACTGAACAATCAGTCGCATTTAATGGTATCAGCTCCAATAACTCCGTTCGTATAGATCCATTTGTTGGAGAAACGTACCGAACAAGTGTACACATAAATTTGATGTCACAAATATCTGTCGATTCATCAACTAAAATGGAGAATTTAACATTTTTTAAATTGCTCACTGTTTCCTCAGTCTTTACTCTGGCAATTACTTTTTTTTAAATATTCGTACATTTTTTTCTGTTTAGTGTAAGTTCTTTTGCAATAGTAGAATCTATAAAACTATTTTTTAAAACAGTTGTTAGATGATCTGATATTTGAAAAGCTAAATTGTGTTCTGCGAATACAACTACAATTTTAATTTCTGCTTCCTTTACTTGTTCGGATTGGGAAGTTAATTTTCTGTTTCCATAGAAATCTGTAAATGGTTGTGAAGCATGAATGGTTTTGACGTTTTGTTTATGTTTCTTTCCTGCGGCATGTTTTTGTAGATCACTCTTCCCACAATTCAGATAAACCTAGTAAAATAAGTACTTACTTCAAAAAAGATAAATCCCTAGATAAATTATATAAACTAATTAATGAGTATACTTTACCTGACATGTTTTACACCTGGCTTTAGGATTGTCATTTTGAACTGAAGCTAGAAATCCCTTAAATTCAGAACACTCTAACCATTCAGTTATGAATTGTTGGTTTTTGTTTTTTTGGTGGTGTTTTGTATAGCGGCCGCTGTACTCAACTCATAGATGTTGCACACTTGCTGACTTGCACTCAACTCAAGTTATAATTTATAACTTAATATTTTATTCTATTCTGTTTTTCTGTATTTCTGTGGTAAAATTAATTAAAATTTAAAATAGTTATAATAAATAAATAATTTGGATTTTGATGAAATATAATGGACAGTGATGATGATATATCCTATGATATAGGTTAATGACAGGGGCTGGAACCTTACCGATTTTGGACCGAAACCTTTTGAAAATCTTGGGACCGGAACACTTAAATACATTTTTTTTAGGAACCGAAACCGAAACCTTTATTTTGATGTAGAGGTTTTAAAGGTTTTTTTCGGTTCCAAAATCCAATAGATATTTTATCTATGGTATAAGTATTTAATAACTAATTATTATTAATAATAAACAATTATAAAATCGTAGACCTTTAAAAGTTTATCAATTCTAAGAAATAAAATATTATTCCCACACAGCAAAGTAAAGTTTTTGAAATCTTTTCAAAACATTTTCAAATGTAAATATTTGATTGAATATTCACAAAAAATTGGAATAATATATTCAAATATTTTCAAAATATTGTCACATTATTTTTTGGCAGGCGAAAAAATGTTTTTAAAATGTTTGTTTTCAAATATTGTTAGAAGCTTTTTATGAAAATCTTGTCAAAGCGAAATACCAACAATATTACTAGAAAAATTAACATATATATTTGTATTAGGTTCTTAAGAGAATATTGTCAAAACGCAATACCAATAATATCACTAGAATAAATGAACACGAATATTGTGAAAACAAAATAGAAGCAATATTAGTAATAATATAAAATTTTAATTAGACATTAAAATATAAAAAACAAATGTGTATAATAAATTATTAGTATATAAATAAAATATTATACATATAATCAAATAACAAAAACAAATAGATATTATTTATACTGTTTTATTACAACATTCATAATAATGAACCCATCAAAAAAAAAAAAAAAAATGAATAATATAATATAATATTAGTTTGTGTGAAAATATATAATATTACATAACAATGTATGATAGTTAAATTATTTTATATAACAATATAATACAAATGGCAAAAATTTAGCAGATACAAAATATAAAATACAAAAATAATTTTTAAAAAGAGGAATACTTAGAAAATTGTTTTATATTATTCAAGTAATTATTATATGAATAGTAAAAATGTTTAATTATATAATAGTTAATTATGTACACATATAATACAATTAATGTTGAATATAATATTATTTTGTGTAAATAATAATACTAAATAACAATGTATTATAATTAATTGAATCATTTGTTTATCAATATTATACAAATAGCAAACATTTAGTGGATACAAAATATAAAATTAAAAAAGCAATACTAAAGCTAGTATACTATTAAAATTTTTTTTAAATTATTAAGGTAATTATATGAATAATACAAATTTTAAATGATATAATAGTTAGTTATGTAAAACTGCATAATATAACACAGTAGGTACACAATATAATAAAATATATCATATAAGTAGTATAGGGGTCACTATGGTACACTTTCATTTTAAATGCAAAATTCCTTAAATTATTTTGCAAATCGTGAAACGCAATAATTATTAAATTATTTTGCAAATCGTGAAACGCAATAATTATTAAAATATTTTTTCATAGAAATTGAAACGCAATATTTCCTAAAATATTTTTTCATAGAAATTGAAATGCAATATTCCTTTAATTATTTTGCAAATCGTGAAACGCAATAATTATTAAAATATTTTTCAAAAAATCTGAAATGCAAAAATACTAAAAATAATTTTCATAGAAATTGAAATGCAAAAAATACTAAAAATATTTTCCTATGGGGGACTTCGGCACACGTGACATTTAAATGCAATAATTACTTAAAATATTTTTCAAAAATCTGAAATGCACCAAAACATTTTTTAATAGAATTGTTCTATCAAAAATAAAAATCGAAATGGCATATTTAATTGCAAAATGTATTAAAAAGAAATTGAAAAAATTAATTTAAAAATTAAAAATATAATAAATAATAAAAATAATGGCAAATATAAATTCTATAAGCATATTAGAAAATATGAAAGTCTCTGAGCTTAAGTTAATAGCAAAAGAGGCTAAACTTAAGGGTTATAGTACCCTTAAAAAAAATGATCTTATATCAAGAATTAGGAGAGGTCATACAATTCGCGATTTAACAACTTCTGAGCTTAAGTCAATAGCTCGAAGTTTTGATATAAAACAAATTTACAAACTTAATAAAGAATGTTTAATAAAAAAAATTAAATTAACAAGAAAGCAACAACCTTTTCGTAAATTTCAAGAAGATATATTCAAGGATGAAGTTTTTAATAGTTCATTAAACAATAATCCATTTCAGAAGTTAGAAAAAACAATTTTCACAGAAGAAAATTATTTTAATAGTTCATTAGAAAAAACATCAGATGTTTATGATTTGATAGATATAATTCAAATGAATAAACAAATCCAAAAGAAATTTAAAATACATGAAGCTGAATATAAAATTCGGTTTAGAGAAGCTTTAATAAAAGATCTAAAGCTGTGTAATGCAAAATACAAAATTGATTATGTACATAAAGCTCTAGATTCCATGTTAAAACTTGTCCAAAAAAATTCAAGTTATGAAAAAGGTGATCAAATAAATATTATAGTGATGAATCCAAATTTAAAAAATACTATATCTACTGGTATGAAATCTGATAATTTTTTAACAAACTTAAAATCAATTATTGTTAACATATTAACTTCAGCTGAAACAATTGATATAACAGAAACTACTTTTCAAGTTCAATTAGTGAAAATACCAAGAGGTTCAAGGAGAACTAAAATAATTAATTTATCAGAAAATATAAAAACAAAAAAAAGTATTATTGAGATTAATAACGATGATAATTTATGTTGTCCGAGAGCTATTGTTGTTGCATTATCTACTGAAACAAACAATATTTTAGGTCATGAATTAGACCCCAATAAAATTAAACAATTGAAGATAGGTAGAAAAATTCAAAAAGATTTAGCTTTAGAATTATGTAATATGTTACCAGAATATAACGAAGAAGGATTTACATTGAATGATATTAAGAATGTGGAACTTGCACTAGATATTCAAATAAATGTTATTTGTGCTGAAAATGTAAATACTTTAATTTATAAGGGTGAGGATAAAGAAACTAAAATTTATTTGTATAAAAATGGTAATCATTTTGATGTTATTAAATCCGCTAAAGCTTTCTACGGATCGTGTTATTATTGTAATAAGTGCGATAAACCATATCAAAATAAAGATAAACATAAATGTATTAAAAATAAAAATAAAAATAAAAATATATGTAAATTGTGTACATATTATGGTGAGAGATTTGAACATTCAATTAGTACAAAAAATAAAATTTATTGTGAAAAATGTAATAGATATTGTTATAATCAAGAATGTTTAGATAATCACGAATATGTATGTGCCTATGTATATAAATGTATTGATTGTAATAGAATATTGTTTAGAGATAGGGAACATAATTGTGGTTATAGTAAATGTAGAAATTGTCTAGAAGAAGTGAAAATAAATGAACATCAATGTTATATGCAAAGTAGATTAGCAAAAGGAGGTAAATGCTTAGTAGGATGTACAAAATGTGGAGGTACAAATAAACCATATCAATGTTCTTATACAGAAAAATATTTGTTTTTTGATTATGAAGCTCAACAAGAAACAGGAACTCATATCGCAAATAAAATAATTGCTCATGATTTTGAAGGAAATAAAATTATGTTTGATACAAATGAAGAATTTTGTAAACAAGTAATATCTGAGGAATATAGGGGTTATACATTTATAGCACATTATGCAAAAGGATACGATTCACAATTTATATTGAAATACTTGGTTGATAACACTATGAAACCATTTACAATTTATAATGGTACAAAATTAATGTTATTAGAAATTAAATATTTAAAAATAAGAATAATAGATAGTTCTAATTTTATTCAAGGTCCTCTCAGTAGTTTTCCCAAAACGTTTGGTCTCAAAGAACTGAAAAAAGGTTACTTTCCGCATTTCTTTAATACAGTAGAAAATCAAAATTATATTGGTAAATTACCTGATAAAAAATATTATGGATTCGAAACAATGAAACCAGAGAATAAACTAGAATTTGAAAAATGGTATAATGAAAAAATTAATGAAAATTATATATTTATTTTTAAAGAAGAATTAGAGGCTTACTGTAATTCAGATGTAGATATTTTACGAAGAGGATGTTTAGAATTAAGAAAACAATTTTTGGATATAGCTAGCATTGATCCTTTTTGCTATACAACTATAGCAGGT